TTCTTTGATATAATATTTCCAGTTGTAAATCAATAGATTGAATAATTTCTTCTAATTGTTGTTGTTCTGTATTAATTTCATTAATTGTTTCAATCAGTTCGTAATAAGTTGAATTCTGAATATATTCATTCGATTTTTGATTACATTCATTCAATCGACCAAGATAATATGTATTCATCTCATCAGCGGTTCGCCGTAGAATCAATTGATCTTTATTTAATTGATATCTAATTGATAGAATGAGTTGTTTTTCATAGAGTGCACGCTCTTCAAGTACAGAAGGTATAGGTTGAAGAAATGATTTATTGAATAATTGTTCAATCCCATTTTCAAAATGCATTTGACGAGACAGATCGATTGGATATTTGATGAAAAGTTTTGCAAGTTCTCGTTGAAGTGGTGCCATTTGTTTCGTAATGATTTGAGCCAGTACTAAAGAAGATTTTGATAAAATATGTATTTGACATGGTGGAACATAGGTTGGTCCACAATTAAGAAATGTAACTTGTTCCTGTGATAGATGATGTGGTGTGTCTTGAACTATTGTTGGTGAGCAAGTGATATTTGATTTTTGGATGGGAATGCTCCGACGATCGATCCAATCTAATTCTTGACCGTCGGAGCTTTGACGAAAAAACTTAGTTTTAATTTGTAAAGACATGTAAGACGTTCATTTATATTCTGAAAACGTCGTTCCATAATATTCAACATTGTTTGAGTTAATTTTTTATGTGATGGACCAGAACATTGATTTTCTTTCATTTTAGCCAAGTCTGTATCAAATTTCTTTTCATATTCATTTATTTTTGCTTCGGCTGTTGTAATATAAATCATCATCATTTCGGATTTCGTTTGTTTTAAAATTTTCTCACATCGATCCTTTAAATGTTGACGAGTCATCGTATCAGTAATTGTATCGAATGATATGGGTGGAGGTATTTTAAGTGATTCAAATGATTGTGGTAAATGATTATAAACAATACGTTGTTTTAATATTGCTACATCAAATTTAGATGTTTCTTTTTCATATTTGGCTTGAGTAAGATTTTCAAATATTTGTTTTTGATATTCATTTGGATTTTGTTGATAATATTCTAATTGAATCAATCGATCATTATAATCATATTGAACGATAGCAATTTGTTCTTCTGTAGCTACTTTATATATAGGTGTGATATGTTGTTGAACAAATTTAGTAATAGCTTCTCCGATTTCACATGTCCAACAATTGTTTAAACGTTTTTTTCTTTCTTTCAATTGAGCTTAATAATGTTCAGTTTGGTTTCGAAATTTTTGTAGTACTCTCTGAACATAATTCAAACAAGAAGCATGATCTATTTCATTTGGATCAGATGCAGTTGTTTGACCACGATCAATCATTCTCTGTTTAACTTCTAAAGGCCATAATAAGAGTGTCGATGTTGTTGCTTCTGGCTTTAATCTACCTGTTCCAGAACGTAAATATGTAGTCTATAGTAATCTATCAAGATCAATGCATTCAAGTTGGTGAATAAGAATAGCAATCTCTCGTAAATATTCAATATTGATAGAAGTTGTTGTTGTTTTTTCAAGTATAGGATTGATCATTTGTTCAAATGCTTTATTATGACTTGATAAATATCTTGGTATTTGATTACTAGTTGATTCTTCGTTATCGGGTTTCATTTTTTTCGATATGTTATCTGTTGTTGTACTTGGTGTTAAAGTTGGTCGTTTCTTGACAGTTGATGATTTAGATTTATCGCTATCCTCTTGCTCTTTATCAGTAGCTGATAATTGACTTAATTTTTGAGATAAATTTTCTTCTTTGAACACGGAATCAATCAAATTATTCTTATCATCATTTAATTGCTCAATTTCAATTACATCATTATTATTATCTTTGCCAATATTCATATAAAGATTATCAAAATCAATGTTTGTATCTTCTTCCTCATCAATATCATCATCACATCGATGGAAAATATCATCAAATCGATTGATATCTCTTTCAATCTATAATAGATAGTTGTCATTAATATTGAGTAAATGTTGTTGATTTTTTTTCAGAGTTAAACTTACGTTTCGATCTGAATCAGTCATTTATTTTGTATTAAAGAATACTTTCGATTGATATTCAACTATCTAAAATTATGAAGAGAATTAAAACAAAAAACTATCATAAATGCTTATGTTTTCCTTATTATATATCATAACAAGAAAAAATCAAAAATAAAATATTTGATACAATAAAATAACAACTACTTATGATAACCTGATTTAAATGAAATATTCATTTTTTATATTGAATCTTCATTCTAAAGTGAAATAAATAAAATTTAAGATTCTTTATAAATGTATATGTACATTAGCAGCTTGTTGTAAGACATTAGTAGGCTTGCGTTTTAGCATTGGCAGTGGTGGTTTCTTGTGCACAAACATATCTTCTAAAGTACGATTGGTTTTGACGGCAAATTTTAGTTGAACGTGTTCCACATTAGATCCTTTATATGCAAAATGCTTTTTCCACCATGTGCGGAAATCACGTTGAAAAGCTAATCTTGGCCCACTTTCGAAGTTATATTTGGCATACATGACATTGGAATCCCAAGGTGTCTT